AGGAAAATTTTTTTTTTGAAAAAGTGGCTGTCCCCCCCCCCCCCTCAGGAATGGTCCGGCCAATAATGACAATTTTTTCGATAACTCAGCCATTTCTGGACGGATCCTTCTCATCTTCGAACTCGACCGAGATATTGTTAAGACTGAACTGTGTAAAAAATTTCATCGCGATTGAACTCTTCTTTCAAAAGTTATCGTGTAAACGGCCGGACGGACACACTGACCGATTCTAGAGTGTACTCACTTTTTGAGTACACAAAAAGAGAACTGAACAAAAGAATAAGTTTCTTTTTATCGAAATATATGTTTTGCTAAAACGCACATCATTTGACTCAGTTTTTAATGTTGAAAATTTATTTCAAATATTGTTTTCGATACAAATGATCGAACCCGAGTCTCAAATTAAACAAAAAGAGAATACCGTATCTAATGACCCGTACTTAATAGCCAAAGACAATTTATCAAATGCCTATATGAATTTTCAGTGGTTAAATATATATCTACCTGTGATATCCAAGTCAAGGACTTATATCAGTCTGCTATCAATAATAAAACTCAAAGTTATCATACGTCCAAGGGCAGAAGAACATGATCTTTGAAGTTATGCGTAATTTAGAAAACATCTAGAAAGTGTCAGATTTATCAGTTTATTTGTGCAAGGTGCTTTCTATTAAAAATTTGATTTTTTTTTCTTCAGGCTGCTTATCCACCTAATCATTATATACGTCAAGTACCACAACGTAAAATTCATTTATTTACATTCTTACAACTAATTCAATTATCAATCTTATGTATTTTGGGGTTTTCACCAATACTTTATACTAAATTAATTTTACCAATATGGTTGGTTGTTATGGTTGCTTTTCGATATCGAATATTACCAAAAGTAATTGCAACGAAATATTTACGAGCATTAGATCAACGATTATAGATTTCTTTTTTTTCTTCGTCATCTCTTTGAACAAAATATTCTTGTATTATGCATGAAGAACATCATTTCGATTGAAGTATCTATTAGAAATTGTTTCGTTAAAAGGTTTAGTTGATGATCAAAAATATATCAGATTTTAACAAATTTTTTTTAATAGAAAACAAAAAATTGAAAATAACGTTTTTTTTTGTTTTGTTTTTCATGTCTCAGTTTTATTATAACTATCATAAATATTTAGGAGATTATTATTATTTTATTACCTGTATGATGAAGATTATCAACATTAATACAAAGATAAATTTGATATTACAGATACTAACTAGTACATATCAGAATTATGTAAAATGATAAAATAATTTTTATTAAATCATGATAAACATTGTACCGAAATGGAAGACTTCTTTTCAATGTTTTTTTAACTTATCTATCTAATTTATAACTAGATAAGTTTATACGAATGATACTATAAATATCCTACACAATAAAATGACAATGCAGGTCATCATGATGAAAAGAATCGTCATTATTGATAGAAACAAGAGTATCATTCAAAAGAGATAAGATGATGACGCACATACATCGAGAAGAATAAAAGATTTTTTTCATTTGGCATAATATAAACAAGTGACGTTATGTAGTAGACCTTGAAATCGGACCACTTTTTTTATGATTGGGCCAAGAATCGCTCATGATCTGCTTGGACCAACTCAGAATAACACTATTAAGAATATATTCTTTTTTACAAAAAAGGATTTCTATACAATAGAACTCCACAATCATTTATTAGAATATTATTAAAAATTTATTATCATATTGATCATGAGTTGAATAACATCGAACAATTTTAATGCTTGAAAAAAAACAACAACATAAGAGATAAGTCAAGGATCAACATTCATCTATGGATACTGAAACTTCTTGAAGACACTCATGTATTAATATAAGTTTTCATCAGTAGAATGTCTGCTGATAAATTTTAAAGATTCCGAATGGTTACGATTTTCAGTTGCGCAGTTAACACTATTCCACTTCAAGAAGACTGTTGCCACTTAATGCCGCTGATAGTGCACTCAGCCTTGTGTGTGTGTGTGTGAATGAGAAATGTTATTGAATCGAATAAATGTTCGACTTTGATTTAGTGGAGAAATGAAACATCCAAAATATTCGTATAATAAAGATTTCTGATCTCGTTATCATTTGCGAAGTGAAAAATCTTATGTAGAAAATTTGAAGGAAAAATCAGAATTTTTTTTCTATTTTCTTACATGAGAATTAGTTTGAGCTCTATATAGAACAATTTTAAATGTGAAAATTTTTCAATTCTTTGTTGTATGAATCCTTAAGTTTGAATACAAGTCATTAAAAAGAGTGAATCAAAGAAATACAACAAAACTTCTGTTTTTTTTTTTTTTTTGAGGTCACAATTTAAAGTTCACATCAAGTAGAATTCGATTTATATTACATCAGGTTCAATTGAATTCGTCGATTGGATATAAATTTTTATTCTTATATTACATTCAACATGAGTTAATATATTTATTTTTTAAATAAAAGGACAAAACTCATTTTAAAGATACAGAAGAACTTTTGTATGAAAAAAAAAAAAGAAAATGTTTTAGAATAAGCACAAATGTCGATAATATACTTCGTGTTTCTTCTCTCGATTTAATCTGATAAATGATAACTAAATTTGCTAATACCACAAAAAAAACCGAGTTGAACGTTATGGCAAAAAATATTATAATAATAAAGTGTACATTTATAAGTTAAAAAGAAAAGTCCATAAACGATTAATGCATATATATATATACAGAGAAAAAATTATAAAAGCACAATCAATGTTATTTAACAATTATTGCTGGTGGTAATTGACGATCTGGCAAAACTTGTTGATGAAGATATTCATATTGTCTACGTGTTTCAGTAATCTTAAATAGAATATTTTATTTTTATTTAAAATCTTAAAAAAAAAAACAAGAATTCGAATTTACTTGTTGTAAGATTGCTATTTTTCTTTCTTCTAATTCATGTTTAATGCGTTTAAGTTCGTCAACTTCGTCTGATAAAGATTCAACACCAATTGCTTTTCGTTTTCGACAATTTTGTGCTGCAATCTTAATAGAATATATTATTTTATTTGATGATAAAGAAATTCAAAAACAAAAAAATCGAAATACTTTATTTTTTCCACGACGACGAATATCTTTTATAATATGTATTTGTTCTGGAGTTAAATAATTTAAACGTGCTAAATGACGATTATATTCTTCTGTACTTGATTGAGTTATTTCATATGAAGTTAATGGAATATTATATTGATGTAAAGCATCTTCATCTTGTTGTCCTTGATAATTTGAACGTGTACTTGTGCGTCTTTGCATCATATGTGATATTGAATCTCCATCTGATTCAATCTAGATAAATTTTGGAAATAAAATATTTTATTTTTTTTAAGTTTAAATATATACTTTTTCCGATTTTGTATCATCAAATGTTGTTTCACTATAATTCTAAAAATAAAACAAAAAAAAAGAAAAAAATAATGATCGAAGTTTTTTTTTTTTCTTGAAATTTATTTCAAATACTTCTGTTTAAAAATATAATTGATGGTGATCAATATCATTGCTACAATTATTACTTACTGAATATTCATCATCGACTAAAACACTTAAAGGATTTATTAATGTCGATTCATTATTATTAGTAATATTTTCATTGGATAATGGAATAACACTTGATGATGATGATGACACTGTTGTTGTTATTTCATTTGATGTATCTTCATTGTTATCTATAAATTGATTTGAATTTGTAAACATGATACCGTCAGTACTTTTATCAAGATTCAATAAACTTGAAAACCAATCTGAGTCAGTTTGCTCGTCAATATTATCAAATAATAAATTAGGAATATTATCAAGAACCAATTCGCTATTATCTGCTGTTGTAATTGGTAAAATTTGATTAGATGATGCTTCAATATTAGATAAATATTCTTCGATCCATTTCTAAAATAAAAAAAAAAAAAATTGCACAATCATTTTTATAGTAAAATATTATTTAATAAATAAATAAACAAAGATAACGTACATCGCTTGGTGTAGGAGAAGTGTTTGATATTAAAGTCGATTCACGAAAGATTTTCTCACCTGAAAATATAAAATGAGAAAGAACAGGTTATATCAATATTTAACTTCTTAGACATTGATAACATTCGTTTAATATTTATGAGAAATAGACAATTCGTTTTAAATTCATCTCAAACTATTGATTATTTCTTATTTGATTACTCAAATTTAATTTAAAAGTAGGTTATTCATAATTTAAAATAAAATTGAAAAAAAAACTAATCGTTTTTGAAGAACAAAAAAAAAAAAAACATTCTAAAAATTAAGTTTATTAACATACCGGTTTCAGGATCTATATCAAAATCATAACAAGCATCATCATCTGACATTGATGAATCATCTTCATTAGTTGTTAATTTTTTTCCATTATTTATAAATTGTATTTCAGCTGAATAAACTGTAAAATCAAGTGTTTTTTCTGTTCCATTATAATCATTTATTGAATTATCAATATCAATCCAATTCGGTGGTCGTACACCTAATTCATCTATATCAATAGATAATAATCCATCTTTTTCATATATTAAATCCATTTTTATAATAATTAATAGATAAAATAAATCAAAGAATCTTTTCTATATGTGACGATGCCAACAGTGTTATTTTATGCCTATGAAAAAACAAAATAGAAACATTACGATTACGTGGTAAACAACAAGATAGAACAGAAAAGAAAAGTATTTTTTTTTTAGCGTTTCTGTTTTGTCGTGACGCAAAGAAAGAACATGAAAGAAAAAAAAAAAAAAATAAGACGCAGTTCATGTTCGCCATCGTACTTCCCGTAACTTTCGTACGATCCTGTCTTACTCACCTCCTTTTTTCTTTTTATAATCTTAAAAAAGAAAAGGAATAGGCATATTGTTGATTAAGGCAAAAGAACAAATAAAAAATACGTTCCGTAAAGAAAAATTCTCCATTTTATACTCAATTATGCAAATAAACATGTTTTTATTTGTCTATCACTAGTTAAAGCAAATGTCAAATAAACTAGACTTATAACTTATATTACATACATGAAATATTTCTCTTTTATTTGTGATATATTGTTCAATTAAAATAGAATTCTCTTCGTAGAATATTATCATATATATATATCATAATCATTATTTTTATATTAAAAAAAATTTTGAATATTTATTTTGGTATGCAAGAAAGCCATAAAATATGTCATGAGAATAAAATAAATGGCTTATTTCTTTTCTTTTGAATGTGAATTTAAATTAGGTATCGATAACGACTGTTGCAAATGTTTTTGAATCAATCAATATTCTTCTATTTTTGTTTTATTTTTAAAAGGCAAATTTTAAAAATATTCAGCATCTATGTTGAAACATCTTTCTAACTGTATGTTTCGAAGTTTCTTAAAATCATGTATTGCCTTTGAATTGAAGGATATTAAAATATTTTATCTTATTCATTTTACATTATGAAATTGTGGAAAAAACAAAGATCTACCAAAAAATTGAATGTAAAAATAGTGATGGATTAATCAAAGTTTTTCAATATTTGAGTTATAGCATTTCATTAAAAAATCAATGTTATTTCAGAACTTAGAAATTGTCAGCATATAAATAAGAATAAGCATGAACATCAACAAAATGAGTGTCGGTCTGAAAAATAGTCACAGGCATGTCTTTAAGTTTATTTTCTGCATACACAGTTATAAAGATCTTTCAACTTAGAAACCTGAATAAGTATTTTTTCTAAAACTTGATCTTTGAAAATGAAAAGTAGAAGAACATTTGTTCTAAAACTTTTGCAACACCCGTTATGTTTTAGAAAACATGTGGCGTTTTGTTCACTAGCATGGGCGGGCCGGCATAGGGGCGATTGCCCCCCCCCCCTAAAAATTTTTTTTTTGGCTGGAACTTAAGAAGAACGCCATGAAAACAAGCGTTTTTAAGCGAAAAAGTGCTTATTGCTCCCCCCTGAAAATTATGGACCGGCCCGCCAATGTTCACTAGGGAATTTTTCCAGGTGTCAAACTACTTTTCTATTAAGACAATGTGTATTTGATGAGTAAAAATTGACTATCGAGTTTCAATTTCAAATTTAATACGAACAAAGTTTTTAATAAGATTAGTTTGTTGGAGAAATTGTAAATTTTCTTGTATCTTCTATTATGAGATATTCAATATTCGAAATTTTTTCGTATATAAAAGTAAAGGAAACATTAGTTATACAATTAACTAACCTCATTAAGAAGAACTGACTTGTTGCAAAATTTAAAATCAATTTTTCATATTATCCGACAAGAATCACATTACTCTAGATTTTCATATTACTCAATCAAATAAACATCGTCTCAGTTGATAAATCATTTGACACTTGGAGAAGTTTCCTCTTCAGTCATTTGACATATATATTAATGAAATATTTCAATGAATATTAATGCGACTAATAAAAATATTTTAATAAAGTTAGACAGATTTATAGAAATTATTTTCCAAATAACACATAACAAGTATTTATAATTATATGATATTTGTCAAATGATATTTTAGAAATAAAACAAAATAATTAGTTTTATGTTTGAATTTTGTGCATTATTTTCTATACTGTTTTAGTTGAAAAGAATTCTTTTAAAATTTTGTATTATAAAGAAAAACTATTAGAGTAAAAAGAAACAAAATAACACGAACAAATGATTTTGATTAATAACTGTTACACTTCAAATAGACATTCTCGAAGTGAACATTTTGGAAAGAATATTGACAGAATGTTCTTTCTTTGAAATGCACTGTTATATGATATATTCAGTTTTTAATAGAAAAATTAATCAAAATTACTTTTCAATTTCTATTCATTTAAAACAAAAAGCTGCTTTGACTGAATGATTGCTTTGTTCGACACGTAACCACAAGAGACCGTATTCAAACCTCAGTACCATCACCTATGGAATGACTCTTGACAAGTCACTAACGGTCATTCGTGTTGAATCATCCAACTGATAATAGACCGGTCTTCTGCTCAGAGTTACAACTAGTATTATTTGTGGGGAAAATATCGAATTATTGAATTTGCCATGAGATGACATCTCATACCACGAGGCAGGACTATTCTTTCTTTCACTTACAGCAAAAAAAAGAATTCTATCACATACGATATTAATCTTAAAAATTTGTTTTTTCTATATGTTTTCTTTTAATATTTGAGTCTTTAGGAAAATTTTACTTGTTGATAAATTATAAAATGATATTCAAGTATTACCATCAATATAAAGAAATAAAATGATTCACAAAGTGTTTTAAAGACTATTTATAGAATATGAAATCATCCATAAAGATTGTTCAGGTAAACGAGCTTAGAAGAAGGAAGTGAAAAACAAACGATTTTTTTGATCTGAACGTCTTTTAAAAATAATCTCTTTGCATTTAAGGACATAGATAAAGAATACTCTTATAAGACTAACAACAACTACAACAATATCTAAATTGTTTGTCAATCTTGTTTTGACCTAATAACTTTATCTTATTTGTTAATATTACGATTATTTCTTTTTCTATTTCGTAATATATTCATAGGGCATGTGGTTTATAAATATATCTAATTACGTACGATATTGCATGCTTTTCTATATTGACTTCTAATGTATGTACAATTTAATGTAGGTGTATAACCATGATAAATGACTCACTGTTTTCTTTTTCTTTTGAATTGTATATTTGTTTTGATACTACAGACGTCAGGACGTTCTCTGTTTGTTTAATATTGCTTGGCTATTTACTTTATTTAAAGATTTTTATCTAAAAAAAGAAATCACTATCATAAAAAAAAATCATAATAATTAAAATAAAATGTAAATCACGAAAAAAAAAAAAGAAAAGAGTGTAATAATAAATGTTTAATAAATCATGTCATCAATGTATCTAATTGACTTTGAATTGACTCAAGCTAGAAAAGTAAAAATTAATTGATGGTTATATAATTTTTATTTGTTGTTTTACCTTTTCGAAAAATGCATAAAGTTCATCTTTATTAAATTCTGTTTGTATATTTTCAATTTTCTAAAAGAAATAAAAAAGTATTAATTGGATTATAACATATATTTATAATCAATCAATGATACAAAAAAATTACATCTCAAAGATAGATTTGACTTAAGGCCCCCCCCTCAAAAAAAAGTTAATTTTCGTCAAAAATTTCGAAATTGAGATAAATACATGGGGAGATAGGCCGTCATCTGCTCTTTCATAAACGATAATTTGTTTTTCTCGTTACTTCATTTGTCCCAAAAAAATTTCAAGATTTCCGTCAACCCCTATTCGAAAAACCAGCTGTTTTTCATTTTTTCTCAGTTTCTGCTTTCTCAAAAGCGCATCCAAAATCTATCCTTCCTGGTTCGTTCAATATATTAATATTTTCTTTTTGTTTGAAAGAGCATCTCAAGGCGCCGGGCACACGGAAGCCACTTTTTTAAATTAAGCCTTTGTTTGGTCAATATACAGCCAGTTATATGATTTGGTTACCATTTTTTGACACTTATTTCAGTCATTGAACTTTTGATCCCTTTTTTGCGCTTAAAAAAGGACTATTTCAAAAAAGCAGCTTCCGTGTGCCCTGTGTCTTGAGATGCTCTTTCCAACAGAAAAAAAAGATTAATATATTGAACGAACCAGGAT